TCTTCCTCTGATAGAGAACACAGAGACACTGAGGAACCAGACCAGGACCAGAAGAGACCAAATCCAGGATAAAGAGGTTCAGTGAAGGTGGTGTTGAAGGTGTGGAGGTGGATCAGTGTGTCAGAGGAGAATCTGTAGAAGGACAGAGAGCCAGCAGGACAGTCCACATAGACTGCTACTCTGTTAGAGACAGAGGGGAAGGAGAAGGAGGAGGAGGAGGATGATGTTTCTCTGTTATTGTGCCAGACAGAGTAACGCCCAGCAACAGAGCACTCCAGACTCCAGGACCGATCATTCCTTCCAAACCTCTCTCCTCTCACTCCAATTCCTCTGTAACTCACTGATATACTAACTCTTCCTCTCCACTCGACCTCCCAGTAACAGCGACCAGTCAGACCATCTCTACACAGCAGCTGCCTCCAGTAGTCAAACCTGTCTGGATGATCAGATATGACTGATCCAGGAACACATATGTTGCCTTCCTGTTGTTGTCAGACAGTTTGATCTTTCTGTGTACTGTGTTTGTGTCGATTGTGAGTTCACAGGAATCTGATGAGAGAACGAGACACAATCCAGCTGCAGTTATTGATCTATCATCTGTTCACTGATTGGCACTTTGAATGAGTGATGTCACAGTCTGAAGATGGTTGAATGTTTTCATGAATCAAATGAAAAAGACACTTACACTTCCTCAGACCTGGTCTCAACCATCGGACTCCAGCAGGCTCCACCCTGAAAGGAGAGGGGGGTCAGAGCAGCATCAAACATGGACATTACATTCCTCTCATACACATATACACAATGTGTACATCTGGCCTGCTTCTCCCTGCTCCCCCTGAACCTCTTCACCTCTGCCACTCTGTAAACCCAGATCTGCTCTGAATTTAACTTGTGAGTTGAAGTCTGTAACAAAGTGGGCTCATTACTAAACCAAATGAGTTGTAATATTCAGCTGAAATATGCAGTGTAATGTTGAAATATGCAGTGCAATGATGATGTTAAGCCAAGGCGTCCATTTTAGTAGGGACAGCAGGAAAATGTCCCAACAATATCCAGCTGCTACTGAGTTTTGTCCTAGTCAATGTATTTGGTACACAAACGTTAACAACTCTAATTCTCCACTACAAGTCCAATGTGTGAGACCATCAGGGGGAAAGTGAGAAATATACATAAGTCCATTATATCACTGGCTAAATATACTCCTGCATGCTGCACAGAGTCATCTCAGTCATCGTCTCTCCCTCTCCTCTATGTGTGAGGAGTGAGATGAGTTATTATGGTTACGGGGATGTTGTTTGTCTCTGCCGCTCTTCGTTACTAGTAGTAAGAGTTGTATGACTGGAAGCTTTTGAAAATATAATGTTTCCATAAAAATATTAAAATAAATTAGACAAAGCAAATATCAAATTTTATATCAAGAGGTTTGCCTCATTCGTCAACTGTAGTACTACAATCTGACTTTGGTTTGAAGTGCCTGGGTCACGTGACATGGAAGCTACTAAAATAAAAGGAAATGTGTCCTTAAAGATATTAATATTAAATATAAAAAGCACTCAAATCTAATATCAAGATGTGTGTCTCATTTGTCCAGAGGAGTACCAGAATTTGACTTTGGTTTAGAGTCCCTGGGTCACGTGACATGGAAGCTATTAAAAATACTGCATATTTTTCGTCATATTGCCAACACTGTTTGAAACTGGGGAAGAATACGCCAGATTCTAAGTGAATAACTGTAACTGTGTAATAGCCAACTTAAACTAACTTCACCACGATGGGAGACATGCAGCTCAGTTGAAAAACACATGAGGACAACTCTCATGTGAAGAGCCAGATTGCTCTGAAATTGACTGAGGTGGCTTGACCATCGTTTTCAAAGTGAAGACTGGCTTGACTGCAGTAGCTCAAAAATAGTCGGTAAACTCTCACACAGGTTGCTAAAGTGCATGAAAAATATCAATAAAAGTGCAAAATACCACAATGACAGTACATTTGAATTCACAGTTGACCGATGTTCTTGTGGTGGAAGAAGGCAGTTTTTGTGACCCGGTTGATGTGGGGCAAGAAAGAGAGGGTAGGGTCAAAGGTGATTCAGAGGTTGTGGACCTGGGTGGAGAGGGTGACAATGGAGCCATCCATGTTGAGTGAAAAGCTACATACGTGCTCTCAAGCCTCAGTCTAACTACAGCGATAACACTGCAGTTAACGAAAATCAAGTCCAATGTGCAAAGCAAATGGGAAGCGATTTGTTTATACTAGCCTACAGTGATGCAAGGCAGAGTTGTAGCCAGCAAACGTTAGCACGGATCCACCGCTGTTAGGTTTATTGACATTTTACTGATACTCAGGTACACAGCTTCACCACGTAACTAACGCAACCCTCATAATGTACAGAACAACATACAGAGGACGACCCATCCACTACATTATCGTTACTTACTTATTTTCTAACTTTTATAAAGTGTGGCAACAATCTCATTAAAAAAATTAAGTCTACCTCACTAACCATTTCATTATCATCCAATACATTTTGCTGTGCTCACTTTGCTGAGCCTGAAAGATACACAAATAGTACAAATGTTAGTTACGTAAAAGCAGCAGGTGAGCTAACGCTGTTGCATGTCAGCTAAATGCAGTAAATGTACCGTTATCATGTAACCAGCATGGATTAGTTCCTCCCTTTTTTGGGGGGGGAGTATTGTGCCAATATGCCGGTAGCTGCGCTGTATGAGCCAGGACATTGGTAGAAACAGAGCCTGAACATGTCTGTGTGAAAAGCTACAGCCCACATGCTGGTGTTTCCGCGTTGATTGTGGGATCTCTGTATGAAACGACTGGTCCAAATGGAAGGATGTAGATGATGAAAAGAAGGAGGACCAAGCACTGAGCCCTGATGGACACCATAGGAGACCATATTGGTGTCTGTCAGAAAGATAGGAGTTAACCCAGGAGAGGGCAGAGCCAGTTATGCCGAGGGTGTGCTGAAGCCGTGTGAGAAGGATGGAGTTGACGAGGATGGTGAGGAACCCAGAGTCAGCAGATGGAAGTATGTCATTGGTGCTTTTAAGTAGTGCAGTTTCTGTGCTGTGTTTTGAGTTGAACAAATGATTTTGGAAAATCATTCATTCAATCAGAAAAGGATGGTTGGGGATGGGTCTGCAGTTACTCAGGGTGTTGGGGTCGAATCCAGGTTTTTTTAATATGGGGGTGACAGCAGCGAGCTTCATCATTGGATGATGGAGTAGTGTGAGAATCGCGCTCTGTTAAGGGCACCTTTGTATCGGAGTTTGTAGACATCCAAGTGTATAGTGAGGCTAGTTCTTTTTAAAAGATGTTCCAGGTGGCGGCCCTTGGCTTTGAGGTGGTGAAGTTGATCTGTATACCAAGGGGAAGTGTGTGAAGACGATTTTTGTTTTTAATTGGGCAATCTTTATGAAACAGGAGGAGAGTGTGTCATTGTAGGTGTGTACCAAGGGGCAAACTTCCGGTCTCATCTCTGAGACTAAACCAGTAGTGTCAAACACTGCGTCATTGAGTGGTCACTTGAGGCTGGCTCCAAATGACAACTGTGAGGGGATGACATTTTTTTATAATTCACTTGTTTAAAATATATTAAGCCTTAAAGTTCTGCATTATTAGGGGTATGGCCACTATGAGAGAGAGGTGGCTGCTGCCTCTGTCACTGATAGCAGTCTGTCTGCCGTCTGTTAGCCTCAATTAATACAGTCAGTCACAAAGCTCTGCAGCTCTGCCTGTTTGAGGCTTTTTGAGACTTCTTCGTGCAAATACCGGACAAAAAATGGCAGGCTGAGCGTTAAGCGCATATGAGCAAACAGTAAACGGTGTACTGCACATTGCCATAACTACTGTTACATGCCAGAGAGGTTATCATGCTGAGGCGATCTCAGAGTTTAGTAGGTTTATGGCAGTTGGGACGAAGCTGTCAGTAACTTATCTACTATTGTTGTGTTTACAGGGGCCAGATGAACTGATGGCATTATCATTCCAGATGTGAAACACCAGAGTTCAGCTCTACAGAAGTCCCAGCTATGAATGTGGCCCGGCCAGCTTCTGCAGCTTACTGCTTTGCTCAGTCTTTTGTTTTTAATTTTAATTTTCTGAAATTATAATAACTGACTAAAAGACTAACATCTTTAAGAGACACTGAGAAGTTACTCTGTTGTGAAAGCCCACACTATCTGCACACTGAATAGTTTTGAAGCCCTGTAGAAGGTGTGGGCACAGTTATTAGGAGGCTTACACCGTAGAGATGCACCTATTTACCACAGATGCATTCTCTCAGCTCTGAGACTAGTGTTACTTTCGTCAGACGAAACTAAACAAAATATCTTCATCAACGACCTTTTTTCCCCTGACAAAAACGAGACGGCACGACAATGTCCTTAAACGCTAACTGTGACTATATTAACATGCAATATTTTTGGCGAAAAATGATGAGACTAAAATGTAATTTATAAAATAAAAATGTTAATAAAATCTCTCTTTCTTTTTGTCAGTATAGTGAGGAGACAAAATATTACAGGCCATATTTTCTCCCTCCAAAATTTAATTTTTTCAAACAACATACGGTGTACCAGACAAGTGGGGGAAATGCTTTTGCTTGACAAGGGGAGTAAGGATGTCTAGGTCCAGGGTGATAGCCAGTAGGTCAAAGATTGTAGTGCAAGAGGTGCAGACCAGGTCTAAAGTGTGTCTTTTCTGTGGAGAATACAGTCTCTTTGTAAACCGATTATTTTGTAGAAATCTGCTGAATATGAAACAATTGTGTGAGGGAATTAAAATAAATTGGTAAGCAAGAAGAAGAAGAGAACACAAGAGTTATGTTAATATATTTGACGTTTTGTTTAAAAACATTTTTAAATAAATATTTATGAAACATGACCTTTATTTGAGCCGCTGCCCCCCCAAATGTCTGTCGTTCCCTGCTCATATCCAACATTAACCAAAAAGACTGACTGTGGCTGCAGCTGGCCTCTTGATACCTTAGAGTGTCCAGTCTCCAGTGTGGATCCTCCAGTCCAGCAGACAGCAGCGTCACTCCTGCGTCTCCTGGATGATTGTAGCTCAGGTCCAGCTCTCTCAGATAGGAGGGGTTGGAGCTCAGAGCTGAGGCCAGAAAAGCACAGCCTTCCTCTGTGATCAGACAGCCTGACAGCCTGAAAACACACAAACAAACACACACAGGAAATCTCTGAGGACAAGATAAGGTGTGTTTGTTTTTCTTCCGGTACATTTTGGTTCAACTACAAATTTAGAAAAAATAATTAGAATCATTTGAGATATTTAGAAATTCAACGACAAAAGAATGACAAAAGACTATACGTCTATATGTTTCTTTTCTTTTTCTTTTAGATGATTGATGTTGTGTCTTCATGGAAAGTAATTCTCATTCTAGAAACTACTGTCAAAATTTAGTTAAAGGACAAATCATATCAGCAAACACAATCCTTAAAAAGTTAGCTGTTTATCCACCAATGTAAATCAGACTTTAAATAGGTCATATAATGATAATTTTCAGGTTCATCATTTTATTTAGGGGTCGTACCAGAACAATTTTACATGTTTTCAGTTTTCATATTTTAGTCGTACTGCACATTGCTGTACCCTGTGTGTTGAAAAATGTGGTACTAAATGATAAACATAGAGGACTCAAAATTAGCATTTACAAATTGGGACCAATAAATAGGACCTAATTCAGCTTTGGGATGATTGTTTGAATCTTTAAGTCAAATAAACTATTGCTATGTAAAAAATCGTGTGAAATGTGACTGCTTTCTACAGGATCTTAGAGAGAAAGGGAAGGTTAGACATAGGGGTATAATTGTCTAAAACCTCTGGATCTAGAGTTCTATTCTTAAGGAGAGGCTTAATACAGCTATCTTGAAGTCAAGTCAAGTCAGTTTATTTATAAAGCACATTTAAAAACAACCACTGTTAAACAAGTGGCTGTACAAAGTAATGCATTTTTAACAACAATTAAGAAAAAAACAATCAGCTAAAAGACAAAGAAAAGAAACATATAGCGATAATAAAAGATACGTCTATGATAAAGCATGCAGCAGTAAATAGAAATATAAAGCAATCAGGACAGATAAAGATGAATGTCCCTAGACTGACTCGAATGCCAAAGAATTAAATTCATTTTAAGATGAGACTTGACAGTCTCATTTTTGGGGATGATCTCATGAGAACTGCCACAGTCCAGGGGCTACAACAGAAAAGACAAGATCACGCTTTGTTAACAATCTGTGAAATAGCTAAAAGGAGCTGGTTTGACAATCGAATGGGCCTGGATGTGTGATACAGCATGAGGAGGTCTACAATATATGATGGAGTAAATCCATGCCTTCCCAACAAATGGACTCAATATGGAGATTGGGCTTCAGTTAACAGAGTGGTATCGTAGTGCCTTAGCGCCCAGTGTCTGCAGTCTTCAAAGGCCGGTTAGTCCCCAGTGCTAACATGAGCCAGGTTTTGCTCTGCAGGGTGACTGCAGTGTGACTAGAGTGATTATCTCCTGAGGTAAGGGACAGGAGAGGCCGGGGGGCAGAAATAGAAGCAGTACTTAACTATGCGGCTGTGGAAGTAGAGTGAGCTTGTGGGGAGAGTGTGTGTGGTGTAAACAGTCACGTGAACACACCGCACAGCATGCTCAATGTTAGCGGCCAGCATGTGGCTTCCTACTCTGTTAGGGCGGATCCCATCAGTCCTTAAGTAGGATGAATGATTCCAAAATAAATAAAAATTGTCAATGAAACTAAAACTGTGAGTTCTGCAGACCGGCTGGAGCAAAGGGGAGGGAGAGGATTTGGGAACAACGTTCCGCCCTGCGGTTCAGCGTGGTGATGACACCAGAATTAAACCAGATTAAAATGCACTCAGGGTAAGAAATGCCCCCTGATCGTAGCAGCACCACCTCCGTCAGGACTCTACGTTGCAGAACAGGATGGAGGTCAATGAGTCTCCCTCGTTGTTGGGCCAGTGATCCATGTGGTGTCAGCCACCAGTGGAGTGGAAGCTGCATGGTAAGTGTAAGAGGGACTGCAGCCAGTGCCATAGTTTGACCAACCCTCAGGGCACCAACTAGGTGTAGCATGTCATCATCATCCACCAGGCCTCCAAAGGTGTTGGAGAGGCACAGGGGAGCGTGGAGAAGCAGCCCCTTCTGAGGCTCACTTAGGACCACCAACCATCACCTCAGTCCAGGGTGTCCTGTCCGGCATTGAGCAGGATGGCCTGGTAACCAGTACTGTGTCCTGGAGGGTGTTTCATGGGGTTTACTGTCTGAACTTCTCGCCCATAAAGTAGCTCGAGAGTCGTGAGAGAGGGGTTTTAAAATTTAAATTTTAAACTTATTTGTCACTTCATAAGCAAGCCTTCGAATGTCCTCCTCAAGGTCGGGAATTTTCTTATATGCTTTCTTTAATAGAAAACTGGCTCACAGGTCCTTATAGCTTAGCCCCAAAACTAAAAACAAGTCGCAGGTAGTGCTCGTTTGCGTCTTGGCAGCCAGTGTCGGCAGTTGTTTAAAACCTTGGTAATCTAACTAAAAGGGGAAGTTGGATCTAAACATGTACCATAAGAACTGTTCTTTTTTAAAACACATTCTACAACTACATATAATGGATAAAATTCAAACTTAAAATATTGAAGAGAAACCCCTACAGTAGTTTCGCAACCTAGACTGAACTTAGATGATTCAAAGTGGTAAGTTATTAATGTGTAACAAATGCATCTTTCATATGTAACGTTTTTTGACTCTGCACTGTCTCTTTGGGCTGGACTTTGGACTTTTTCATTTTAAAACCTAAACATGTACAAAAAAAGATTTATAACACAGTGAAAGGAAGGGAAAAGCATGATTTTAAATGGTCATCAATTCAGTGGGTTAATGAATCCTGACCTCATGGTGTCCAGTGTACAGTGTGAACTCTCCAGTCCAGCAGACAGCAGCTTAACACCTGAATCCTGCAGGTTGTTGTTACTTAGGTCCAGCTCTCTCAGACTAGAGGATTGGGAGCTGAGAACTGATGACAGAGATTCACAGCTTCTCTCTGAGAGGTTACAGCCACTCAGTCTGGAGAGGAAATAATCAACATGAAGAACAACATTTGATATAAAATACTGAGTTTGGACTTTTGCTCATACAATATCTATAAAATCTCTTCTAATGTATAGTAATAAAAAACAATTTAAGACAAAAAGTAATTTAATCTTACCTGAGGGTCTCCAGTTTCCAGTGTGGACTCTTCAGTCCAGCAGACAGCAGCCTCACTCCTGAATCCTGCATGTTGTTGTTACTCAGGTCCAGCTTTCTCAGACTAGAGGACTGGGAGCTGAGAACTGAGGACAAAGCTTCACAGCTTCTCTCTGAGAGGTTACAGCCACTCAGACTGGAGAGGAAATAATCAACAAGAAGACAAACCACATTTGATATAAAATAAGGTACACCTGTTCAATTGCTTGTTAACACAAATAGCTAATCAGCCAATCACATGGCAGCAACTGAATGCATTTCGGCATGTAGATGTGGCTAAGGCAACTTGCTTAACTTTAAACTGAGCATCACAATGGGGAAGAAACGGGATTTAAGTGACTTTGAACATGGTTGGTGGTACCAGATGGGCTGTCTGAGTATTTCAGAAACTGTTGATCTACTGGGATTTTCATGCACACCCATCTCTAGGGATTACAGAGAATGGTCTGAAAAAGAGAAGAGTTGCGTGGATGAAATTGCCTCGTTGATGTCAGAGGTCAAAGAATGTGCAGACTGGTTCGAGAAGACAGAAAGGCAACAGTAACATGAATAACTAATTGTTAAAACCAACATTTGCAGAATACCATCTGTGAACGCACAACACGTTGAACCTTGAAGCAGATGGGCTACAGTAGCAGAAGACCACATCAGGTGCCACTACTGTCAACTAAGAACAGAAAACTGTGGCTACAATTCACACAGACTCACCTGAACTGGACAATACAAGCCTGGTCTGATGAATCTCAATTTCAGCTGTGAGATTCAGATGGTAGGGTCAGAATTTGGCATAAACAACATGAAAGATGGATAAATCCTGCCGTGTATCAACGGTTCAGGCTGGTGCTGATGGTGTAATGGTGTGGGGCCCTTAGTACCAACTGAGCATCGTTTAAACGTGACAGCCTACGTGAGTATTGTTGCTGACCACGTCCATCCCTTGTACCCATCTTCTGATGGCTGCTTCCAGCAGGACAATGCACCATATCACAAAGCTCAAATCATCTCAAACTGGTTTCTTGAACATGACAATGAGTTACTCTACTCCAGTGGCCTCCACAGTCTCCAAATCTCAATCTAATAGAACACCTTTGGATGTGGTGGAATGGGAGATTCGCATCATGGATGTGTAGCTGACAAATCTGCAACAACTGCGTGATGCTAGCATGTCAATATGGACCAAAGTCTCTGAGGAATGTTTGTTGAAAGTATGCCACAAAGAATTAAGGCAGTTGAAGGCAAAATGGGTTTCCAACCCAGCACCAGCAAGGTGTACCTAATAAAGTGGCCGGTGAATGTATATCAGATCTGTTCTCAGGACGACTTAAATCCTTGCACTTTTACTGGCATGCAAAGATAATAAGTCACAAGGTATGAAATAAATCAGGTTTTCCATCTCAGCACAAGTTAATCTGATTTACAACATGGTGAAATTTCAAAGAAAGAGAGGCTGTTTAGAGAAATAACAAACAATTGAAACTTGACCTGACCTCAGCGTTTCCATTGTACATTGTGGACTATCCAGTCCAGGAGACAGCAGCTTCACTCCTGAATCCTGCAGCTTGTTGTTACTCAGGTCCAGCTCTCTCAGACTAGAGGACTCTGAGCTGAGAACTGAGGACAGAGCTTCACAGCTTCTCTTGGAGAGGTTACAGCCACTTAGTCTGGAGAGACAACAGGAAGGAAAAAAGTAATAATGCATTTATTTTTTCTCCAGTTGAAAGACAGCAGAGTATTTATTGATAAATAAATTCCACTTGCAGAGCTTTCTGGGAGACTTTCACCACTGGCAGCAGCCTCAGAAGAGCCTCCTCTGAAGCAGAGTATTTCTTAAGGTCAAACACGTCCAGATCTTTTTCTGATGACAGTAAGATGAAGACCAGAGCTGACCACTGAGCAGGAGAGAGTTTATCTGTGGAGAGACTTCCTGAACTCAGGGACTGTTGGATCTCCTCCACTAGAGAACAATCATTCAGTTCATTCAGACAGTGGAACAGATTGATGCTTTTCTCTGCAGAGCGAGTCTTTTTGATCTTCTTCTTGATGTACTCGACTGTTACCTGATTGGTTTCTGAGCCACTTCCTGTCTGTGTCAGTAGGCCTCGCAGCAGATTCTGATTGGTCTGCAGTGAAAGTCCCAGGAGGAACCGGAGGAACAAGTCCAGGTGTCCATTTGGACTCTGTAAGGCCTTGTCCACAGCACTCTGGTAGAACTGTGTCTGCAGATTCATCTTTTCTTGTTTCAGACTTTTGGGATGTAGGTTGTTGTTCTGCCAGCAGATTGACACCAGAGTTGATGAAGGTCAGATGGACATGAAGAGCAGCCAGAAACTCATGAACGCTCAGATGGACGAAGCAGAACACTGTGTCCTGGTACAGCCCTCTCTCCTCTTTAAAGATCTGTGTGAACACTCCTGAGTACACTGAGGCTGCTCTGATATCGATGCCACACTCTGTCAGGTCTGATTCATAGAAGATCAGGTTTCCTTTCTGCAGCTGCTCAAAAGCCAGTTTTCCCAGAGACTCAATCATCTTCCTGCTCTCTGGAGTTGAGTGTGGATCTGTCCCAGCTCCTCCTTCATACTTGACGTCCTTCAGTTTGGACTGAACCACCAGGAAGTGGATGTACATCTCAGTCAGGGTCTTGGGCAGCTCTCCTCCCTCTCTGGTCTTCAACACCTCCTCCAGAACTGTAGCAGTGATCCAGCAGAAGACTGGGATGTGGCACATGATGTGGAGGCTTCGTGATGTCTTGATGTGGGAGATGATTCTGCTGGCCTGCTCCTCATCTCTGAATCTCTTCCTGAAGTACTCCTCCTTCTGTGGATCATTGAACCCTCTGACCTCTGTCACCATGTCAACACACCCAGGAGGGATCTGATTGGCTGCTGCAGGTCGTGTGGTTATCCAGAGGCGAGCAGAGGGAAGCAGGTTCCCCCTGATGAGGTTTGTCAGCAGCACATCCACTGAGGTGGACTCTGTGACATCAGTCAGGACCTCATTGTTGTGGAAGTCCAGAGGAAGTCGACACTCATCCAGACCGTCAAAGATGAAGACAACCTGGAACTCTTCAAAGCTGCAGATTCCTGCTTCTTTGGTTTCAGGAAAGAAGTGATGAACAAGTTCCACCAAGCTGTACTTTTCCTCTTTCAGCACATTCAGCTCTCTGAAAGTGAATGGAAATGTGAACTGTATGTCCTGGTTGGCTTTGTCTTCAGCCCAGTCCAGAGTGAACTTCTGTGTTAAGACTGTTTTCCCAATGCCAGCCACTCCCTTTGTCATCACTGTTCTGATTGGTTCATCTCTTCCAGGTGAGGCTTTAAAGATGTCTTCTTGTCTGATGGTTGTTTCTGGTCTGTCTGGTTTCCTGGATGCTGTTTCAATCTGTCTGACCTCATGTTCATCATTGACCTCTGCAGTCCCTCCCTCTGTGATGTAGAGCTCTGTGTAGATCTGGTTCAGAAGGGTTCGGTTTCCTGCTTTAGCAATCCCCTCAAACACACACTGGAACTTCTTCTTCAGCTTAGATTTCAACTTACGCTGACAGACTGCATCAGCATTTCCTGCATGAACATACAACAAAGACCATCACGGTTGGTTGTTAGTATGTCTTGATAAACCGGTCTCATATTTGCATAGACTTTATCTGTTCCTCAAATTTGCCTTCCCTTCAGCCTTAAGTAAATTTGGTGGTGCCTGTGATTATATACATGCTCACTGTTTCTGTAGCATTCATCAAAAAGCAAATTAATAACTTTATAACATAGTATGATGCTGAATATCTTTACACAGTCATACTGGTCTAAGAATGACAAAAGCAGGGACAGTAAGGACAACAAGTAAAATACACTGACATACACAGACATTTATATTAGAATCAGAATCAGAAAGAGCTTTACTGCCGAGTAATATTTTACAAGTATGAGGAATTTGCTTTGGTGATAAGGTGCTACATGTAGACAAACAGACATTTGACATAAATAAATGTAAAAATATGGAAATATGGAATAAACAGATGCAAGTTATAACATGATAAGATGTTTAAGATGTATGTGTAGAAAACAATGTAGCAGATATTTACATGTCTGGGTTTGTGTTGTGCAGAGATATTACAGGGAAAGAGGATCTGTATTTATTAGTAGTGGGCAACGATTAAAATTTTTAATCGCGATTATTCACATGATTTTCTTGTGATTACTGTAAAGCCCAGGCTTTTATTTGCTAAAATCACTGAATTGACCCTGCCTTTATTTGGGACAGGCGTCCATATGGGACAGGCCTTTAATTTTTTTGCACAAAACTGAACCTACTATCAAACAGTTTATTTATTTCAAACAGAATAATGCTTATGTAAAAATTATCAAATAATATCAAATACACATCATTCATTTGATCTAGCTCCGACAGACAGCTTATGTGCTTTTATTTTGAAGGAAGGAAACAATCAAAAACAACAACAGGCTGCAGGATGAGAGAAGTTAGCAGACAGAGAGCGACTTCACATGACAGGATTCACAACTTGGATTCATTTTTATGAAAAGCTGTTTTGATTCTTTTGATCGGTGGACCTTTACAGACTAAAGGAAGATAAATAATCAAGGAACGCACACATTCGGACTTAACAAGCACTTCACAGTTAAGGTGAGTCAGCTTTTTTATGCAGGTTCCACCGGTAAATCTAGAAGAATTAGACTTTGGGTCTTGTTGTTTCTGTTAAATGAACTTAACAGTGGTATTGTGCAGAATCTAATCGATCTAACGATGTGCAGCATGTCTGACATATTGATCATACCTTTAAACATTAATATTTGTATTAATGATCTAAGCAGCTAAAGTGGGCGACCCGCAGGGTTTAAGAGGCTTTATAAAAGTATAAACACATCCAGAGAACTTCTTTAAAAACCAGACTGGGGGGTGAGGGGGTGTTGATGTGTCCACAGATTTTACTTGGTTAAAAACTTGAAATGATGTTACAAGTCGCGGTGGATATTTATTTTACAAGCACAGTCAGTGCTGCAGGGACCAGGTAACGTTAAAGCAGCATTGATCACCATCCCCCCTCCTGTGACCTGTTTGACTGCACGTGTATTCAGAGCCAGTGAGCAACAGACTTTCAAAATAATAATGTTTGTTTTTTTTAAACTGCCTTAACGCGGGATAAAATAATTGTCAGCGTTAATGATTTAATGCGTCAACATGATAACGCGTTAACGTCTTCAGCCCTAGTATTTTTATAATTATATAAACCAGGGTCTTAATGAGGCTAGCTGCAGATGGGAAGAAGCTGTTTTTGTGGCCAGAGGTTTTGGTCCTGATGGACCGCAGCCTCCTGCCAGAGGGGAAGAGTCTGAAACAGTTTGTGTCCAGGACAGGAGGGGTCAGCCACAATCTTTCCTGCACGCCACGAGTCCTGGATAGTGACCAGGAAGCAGAAGGAGTCCACAGTGGCGACTGGGGAGTCACACAGCATGATGGGGGAAGGTGCCGCTGTGCTCATTCTGAAGTCCACTGCCATCTCCACTGTTTTGAGACTGTTGAGCACCACGTGGTTCTGGCTGCACCAGGTCACCAGGTGGTCAATCTCCCATCTGTGATGAGCCCAATGAGGGTGGTGTTATCCGCAAACTTCAGAAGCTTGACGGAGGTGGAGTCTCTTCACCCATCTTCATGTACTGCTTCCTGTCCGTCAGGAAGTCTGTGATCCATTTGTGTTTAAAAACAGAGTTTAAAAACAAACGTGTCCGTCCACACCAGCGTTTTAGCTCCGTATGAGAACTGATCTCCGTCTATTTTGTAGTTACAGAAGATTTGGCGAAAGAGAAAAGTAATACAGACGATGTATCACACTAAATTTTGTTTTTGCATGGACCAATAACGAGCTGAATCTGTTACTGAATCTAAAACAGGAGTTTAAAGCGACTAAACAGTAACTATTAGTGTTATTTGCACAGTACAAAATATTTCAATAAAAATACCAAATCAAAAACTGTTTCTGCTTTGCATGATTTATAAGACCTATCGTTTCTGAATTCTGAATTTTTGCTTGTCCACACTAAAAAACTACTCGGAGTTTTAAAACACTCCCCACTCCTAAATATCTTCTTTTCCAGCCTTAGCTGTCTGAGTTTGGCTGTGAACTCCTCACAGAAATTAATGTAGGACATCACAGCATCAGTAAACTAATCCAGACTGTTGGTGGCAGAAAATCCAGTCAGTGCAGTCTAAACATGCCTGAAGATCCTCTACAGCCTCACTGGTCTCTGGGCTCTGATGTGCTCACCACAGGTTTACAGATCTTTACTTTATGCAGGAATCAGGTGGACCATCACCAGTTCAGAGTGACCATGTCCAGCTTGGGAGACAGCGTGATAGGTATTTTATTGCTTATTGTTGTGTAACGGTGATTCAAAATTGTTTTTTCCCTTGTCTGAAATTAAAATATAAAGTTTTTGTCAGTACTCACCAGCTGTCTAACAATAATTGCTTATAATATAAAGAAATCAATAACCATGACCTGGACCCAGATGAACTGCAGAAAATAGATGAAAGGATTAACCATTTAAAAGGTTATTAATTAATTAATTAATTAAAGTTAAAATCTTCACTTGTCTCTTATGAGCCGATGACTGACAGTGCTAGCTACAGGATACTGAACAGACTCCTGCAGCAAAATCCACTGTCACAACAATCCCACTTTAGCTTATAGATGTGCAACATACAATGAAATATTTTCCTTATGTTACCTTTTACGGCAGCTAAGAAAAAAATATCCAAGACCACTGAAAATGAATTTAAGACATTTGAATAGTTTTCAGACCCTTTTTGTTTGTTGAGGGAACTGAATTTAATGTTGTTTCTGACTTGCAGCTGCTCTGATACTGCTTCGACTAATTCTCATCAGGTTCTGCTGTTTGCTTTCACTCAGGTATAATATTGTCACATTGTCTAACTGTGAAGGTAAAACTTACTTAGTTATTTTTATATCTTAAAACTACATTTTCCCTTCCATACATCCCAGAGAATAAAGCAGCTTTACCTTCACACTGAGAGGAGGATGGTCCTCTGTTCTCTGAAGTTTCCACTGACACTGAGACAGAGAGATTATGTGTTATATTTTCATTTTGACTTGCGCTCTTTAATTAGTATTTCTTTTTCACGTGGTATAATTATTGTGGACTGTGCTTCTTTGATTTTCATTGATTTCAGGAAACAGGAGATAAAGACACACAAGGGAGTAACAAAACTCAATTTCATTATATAACCTATTATATTGTAACAATAAAATATAACTACCTAAAAGGGAATAAATTAAATCAAGAAAGCCATCTCATGGGAATGGTCTTAAACGTAAACCTTTTCTCATAACGACACCAGGCTTCAAATTGTATTCTTTGGTGAATGCAGTGAGCTTCCGTACTGAGAGACCCTGTTCCTTTACAAGTATTGTGAACCAACTTTCTCTTTTTCCCTGAAAATACAAAGAAGAAAAGTTGCAAAAAATATAAAACTGACCTTCTAGTCCTGAGATGGTGTCTGTCAGACTCTGCACCAGGTCGTTCCTGAGTATCTTGTGTAAGACCTTCTTGGTCACCTTCAGAGCTCCATTAAGTTTATAGGCGTTCACCATCAGGTCCACAGTGTCCTGCCTGTCTACCTTCTCCAGCTTGGATGCTTTAATGGTTTGGTTGCCTTCCAGGATGTCAGGCTGCTTCAGATACCATTTGAACTTCTTGAATTCCTCGTCTCTTAAATCCTCCAGAGTGTTCAAAAGGACCTCTGCTGTCTTCGTGGCTCCCTGCTAAAGTCAGGCAGTATTTTAGACCTGAAGGAAACTGTAAATACACAAATTTATCAGAGCAGCAGCAGGAGTTCTGATTGGCTGACACAGGAGCTGTGTCATTCGGAGGGTCCGCCACATTGAGGGCCATCCAAAACCAATTAACGCAGAGTGGTAGTGGGTTATAAAACCCTCCAATGCTGAGTGAGCATTGATGCTGCTTGTTTAGGGAATGTAATACCCTTTGCTGCACGATGGAGAACCCTTCTTTCAAATGTGAGCTCCGTGTGACTATGCCCGTAAACATGTAGGATTTTTAAATTACGGAACTACACTAACATTTCGGTTAACAAAGCAGCCCAAAGGTTAGATATGGCAATCTCAGCATGGTTAACAAAAATAGGCTGAGCAAGATTGTTAAATGTTGCCAAAACACCATTGGCACTAATTTGAGTGATCTTGAACATGTTTTTAAAGAGAGAGCCATTCGGAAGGCAAAGGCCATCTTGGTGGACCCACGACACCCTAGACTTTAAACTTCTGCCATCAGGGAGGAGGTACACTGTCCCTAGGAGGGCCAAATCAAATAGATATTTGAGATAATTTGTTCCATCAGTTGTTTTTAAACAAACTGTAGGCCTGGTTGCTGTTGCACGTGTGTGTATGTATATATATATATATATATATATATATATATATATATATATATATATATATATAGATATATATATATATATAGATATATATATATCTATATATATATAGATAGATAGATAGATAGAGATATAGATAGATATATATATATATATATCTATAAATATATATATAGATAGATAGATATATATCTATATCTCATGGTTGCTTTACTGTATGTTGATAACACCTATTGTATATTGTATGTTTTATGTTTTTAGGTATTCTATTTATTATTTACTATTTGGTTGATGTGTGTTAGCTACTGTTGCAAAACAAATTGCCCCTCAGGGACAATAAGGGCTATCAAAATAAATTTGTGTTTAATAAGAAAATGCTGTTGTTTCTATTGAATCTTATTCATCTCCTACGAAAATCTTCAGCCAAAACAAAAGTAGCCTACATTAAACGACAGAATAATAGAACATGAAACAACAAGATAGAGGCATCAGGTAACAAGCAACAAAGGAATTAAATATAGTAAATCTTCACACATTTGAACTGTTTTAAGTAATATTCAAAATCTAACAAAAATAATTTGGTAACATACGCCATGGAGAGGAAAGTTCATCCGAAAGTTGGCCACTGTGTTTATTCCCCACTAAAGGTCTGCAAGCCCGTCGGACCCAGACGATTTGGGCTGGGCTTGGGTCAGTTTTTGTTTTGATAGATCGGCTGGGGTCGAGCTCGGGTCGGAACTTGTAGGGGATCCCTACGCGTTAACGGAACTTGTTTTGACTGTGAGGGTGACTCTGTGACGAGGAGTGGCGAGGGTCTAGTTTCGGAAAGGCCCCATGAGTCCGCTCTGTCCTGTTTCCTGTCCTGTCTGTCCAGTGGACGAAATAAGAACCAGACAATGAGGCTACAGCCATGCTAGCATTACAAAATCTGAATTCAATAAATCATGCTCTTAAATTGAAAGACTCTCTCTTGATTAGACTCTGTTGAATAATGTCAGGGAAAATGAAAACATAAAAGTGCAGCGTGGAGATTATTGTGAACAGAATAGATGGAAAAGTAGTTGTTGTACATGTACAGACCATAAATATGGAGTCCAGGTGTGTTTGATGCTGCTGGGCAGACTGACCACTGGGAACCTCTGAGCTCTCCTGGTGGACTCTGTGGAGGAATCATGAAGAGTTAGCTCACATTATGTCTGTCCACACAGAGACAGACACAAGGTAAAGGCAGTCGCTTTGGAGCTGCTCAACAGTCAGAACGTGTGTGTGGAGAAAATGTTCAACTGAAGCCAAGAGCTGAAGACTGATCTACTGGTTCTACTGGTTCTACTGGTTCTACTGCTTCTACTGGTTCTACTGGTTCTACTGCTTCTACTGCTTCTACTGGTTCTACTGCTTCTACTGCTTCTACTGCTTCTACTGGTTCTACTGGTTCTACTGCTTCTACTGGTTCTACTGGTTCTACTGGTTCTACTGCTTCTACTGCTTCTACTGGTTCTACTGGTTCTACTGCTTCTACTGCTTCTACTGGTTCTACTGCTTCTACTGCTTCTACTGGTTCTACTGCTTCTACTGATTCTACTGGTTCTACTGGTTCTACTGCTTCTACTGGTTCTACTGCTTCTACTGGTTCTACTGGTTCTACTGGTTCTACTGCTTCTACTGGTTCTACTGCTTCTACTGGGCAGCGTCAGATGGGAGAATATAAATGTATGTGAAGAAGAACGATGCTGAAAATAAACACACAGCTTTAATAAAACTTCTCTGGATAAATAACATTAAACATGAATCAGTCAGAGTTTAATGGGATTAACAGCTGACCTCTCTGCAGCAGACGGTCGGCCTCCTTTAAAATCAAAGAGGCGACCCTTTGACTGGTCACTCTTGAAGGACACACAGCTGGGCTCAGGTCCAGGTCCATCAGAGGCTGGTCTCCCATAGATCCTGTTAGACAGAGAGGAAGACCACCAGGGATGAAAATGTCATTTTTAGCCTTCAGCCACAGACGCTTCTGGAGAAACTGGCAGCTCTCAACAAGAAAAGGATCAAAGTTCACTAAAAGCTGAAGCTGAATGATGTCAGTCTGTGTATCATCGCTTCATTTCCAGCAAATATTGGACCAAACCAGGACTAAATGTTCTGATCTCTGAGCAGATCTTACTGTTCCTGACAGATACCAAACTTAACTGTGGCTCCATCAGCAGCAGCTCTGTTGGCCTGTATTCTAACGTTTGCATTACTAGACTCACCACAAATATCCTGACTGCTATTTACAGACTTTGGTAGGTGAAGCATTTTAGGACAAAATCCAAAGAGGAACTTTCAGACTAAAAAGAGCTGAACTTGATTTGTGGAACTCAGACTGCTGAAGCTTCATATTGTCCTCAGCTCAACTTTCCAATGTCTTTTTCCACAGAAGCAGGACTGTGGACTCTGTCCTCCATCTCTTCCATTGAAACCCCATCAGGAAGAGATCTCTTCAGGGCCAGTGTGCACAGGAGGAACAATTCCAGCCACCAACAACTCTTTCAGTGGACATATGGGCATGTCAGTGTTGTTTAGGGACAGACTGGAAAACATGTGGACCTGTCCTTTAATCCTAATCTGGCTCTGACCTTCATCATCATGCTAGGAGAACATGGACATTAGAAGGACAACTGGTCAGACTGGATTTAATGAGGACAAACATCAGCAGTGAGCAACATGAGGAGGGAGACATGAACATTTAGCTCTGATTGGCCAACGCTGTTTAATACTGACACATACTCACTGTCTCTTAGATTTTTTTGTAAATCTTCGTTTAAATTTGATGAAAAAATTATTTGACCGGTCTCCCTTGAAGCACACACAGCTGGGCTCAGGTTCAGAATCAGGTCCAGGTCCAGCAGAGTCTGGTCCCTGCTGCTGCTCTGGGCTTCAACACAACACACACAGAGCTTTGAGAGTGAATAATGATGGTGGAGTGATTTGAGTCCTGGACAGTTAGAGATCCTCATCTCACCTCTGAGCTTTGGTCTGGCTGTCATGTTCCCCACACAGAGTGCTTTTAGAGGGAGGGACTCCCTCCTCTCTGTCCTCACACTGACTCATGCTGCTCAACTCACATCCACTTTCACCTGGAGAGGAAACACAAATCATTCATCTGCACATCAACTCAAATCCTCCTTTCCATCATTTCTCCTGGAAAAAGATCAGCTGCTCCTCCACTGATTGGCTGCTAGTTTCTGTTTCATATCAGTGGCAGCTGAATGCAGTCAGACAGCAGCGTGAGGCAGAGGAAGCTGCCATCAGCTGCTGGACTTCTACTATCAGTCCACTAGATGGAGGCATGAAGCTGCAGCCCAGCACACACACCTGCATGGAGGAGCGGACACATTCACTGACTAAATGATATGAAACATGAGCAAACTCTAACAATGCTCTTAAGATCCCCATGTAAGTGAATAGAGAGAAGGTTCAAATCTTCCTCATACCTACTCCTCTTTGAAATGTCACTAGTTTGCATATTTTTAATGTCACACTTTTATCAAGAAGTTCAACTATTATACACTGCTCAAAAAAATAAAGGGAACACTAAAATAACACATCCTAGATCTGAATGAATGAAATAATCTCATTAAATACTCCTTTCTTTACATAGTTGAATGTGCCGATAACAAAATCACACAAAAATTATCAATGGAAATCAAATTTATCAACCCATGGAGGTCTGGATTTGGAGTCACACTCAAAATCAAAGTGGAAAAAACGACAGGCCGATCCAACATTGATGTAATGTCCTTAAAACAAGTCAAAATGAGGTTCAGTAGTGTGTGTGGCCTCCACGTGCCTGTATGACCTCCCTACAACGCCTGGGCTCCTGATGAGGTGGCGGATGGTCTCCTGAGGGATCTCCTCCCAGACCTGGACTAAAGCATCCGCCAACTCCCGGACAGTCTGTGGTGCAACGTGGCGTTGGAGGATGGAGCGAGACATGATGTCCCAGATGTGCTCAGTTGGATTCAGTCTGGGGAACGGGCGGGCCGGTCCATAGCATCAATGCCTTCCTCTTGCAGGAACTGCTGACACACTCCAGCCACATGAGGTCTAGCATTGTGTTGCATTAGGAGGAACCCAGGGCCAACCGCACCAGCATATGGTCTCACAAGGGGTCTGAGGATCTCATCTCGGTACCTAATGGCAGTCAGGCTACCTCTGGCGAGCACATGGAGGGCTGTGAGGCCCCCCAAAGAAATACCACCCCACACCATTACTGACCCACCGCCAAACCGGTCATGCTGGAGGATGTTGCAGGCAGCAGAACGTTCTCCACGGCGTCTCCAGACTCTGTCTCGTCTGTCACATGTGCTCAGTGTGAACCTGCTTTCATCTGTGAAGAGCACAGGGCGCCAGTGGCGAATTTGCCAATCTTGGTGTTCTCTGATAAATGCCAAACGTCCTGCACGGTGTTGGGCTGTAAGCACAACCCCCACCTGTGGACGTCGGGCCCTCGTACCACCCTCATGGAGTCTGTTTCTGACCGTTTGAGCAGACACATGCACATTTGTGGCCTGCTGGAGGTCATTTTGCAGGGCTCTGGCAGTGCTCCTCCTGCTCCTCCTTGCACAAGGCGGAGGTAGCGGTCCTGCTGCTGGGTTGTTGCCCTCCTACGGCCTCCTCCACGTCTCCTGATGTACCGGCCTGTCTCCTGATAGCGCCTCTGTGCTCTGGACACTACGCTGACAGACACAGCAAACCTTCTTGCCACAGCTCGCATTGATGTGCCATCCTGGATGAGCTGCACTACCTGAGCCACTTGTGTGGGTTGTAGACTCCGTCTCATGCTACCACTAGAGTGAAAGCACCGCCAAAACATCAGCCAGGAAGCACAGGAACTGAGAAGTGGTCTGTGGTCACCACCTGCAGAACCACTCCTTTATTGGGGGGGTCTTGCTAATTGCCTATAATTTCCACCTGTTGTCTTTTCCATTTGCACAACAGCATGTGAAACTGATTGTCAATCAGTGTTGCTTCCTGAGTGGACAGTTTGATTTCACAGGAGTGTGATTGACTTGGAGTTACACTGTGTTGTTTAAGTGTTCCCTTTATTTTTTTGAGCAGTGTAGTTGTCCATCCATCCATCCATCCATCCATCGTCAACTACTTATCCTGCGTACAGGGTAGCGGGGGGGCTGGAGCCAATCCCAGCTGACATCGGGCGCAAGGCGGGGTACATCCTGGACAGGTCGCCGTCGTTTTTTGAATACCTTTATCTGACTTCTTAACCAAACTTCCTTGTACTGCATACTGACATACAGGCATGTCTTAATGAATTGACAGTAAGACAGATAGATAGATTTAAACCTTAATTGATAGGTAACCCACAGTCATGGTCTCAATTCACTCCTGTATAACCTGCAGAGTTCTACCACCTCTCACCAGTACTTATTCTTGCAAATTATTCTTTCCTGCTCAGCTACCCAAGCTTCAACTACAAATACCAAAATGACCGGTGAAAAGCTTATTTCTTTAGGGCAAATGCACTTTTCTAACAACAAAACATTAATCTGTGAGGCTTGTAATAAGTGTGGTTTAGGATACTTCCCAAAGACTCAGGTAAAGAAAAACACCACCTTATCCAGGAAGAGGTCCATGCAGGCAAGCAGGAACAAGTGAGCAGGACGGTGGGCTCAGGTAGCATGGAGCATGGACGAGATGGGGGAGTATACCGCAGCGTAGGATTACCTGGTTGAACATCGTGCAGGATGACTTCCACAGCGTCAGGTTCCTTGTCCAAGCTGTGTACGACCTACTACCAAGCCCAGCGATTCTGCACATGTGGGGCAAGAGCGAGTCACCTTCCTGCCCTCTCTGCCAAGGAAGAGGATCCCGAGGACGTCTCCTCAGCAGCTGCCCAATAGCCCTTGGGGAAGGACGTTATCTTTGGCGTCATGACCAGGTGCTAAAGGCAGTTGCCGAGAGCATATCCACAGCCATCAGCGCCAGCAAACACCATCATCCCCCGAAGTTGGCAATTTCCTTTGTCAGAGTGGGGGGAAAAAACACCCACAGACAAAGACAAGGGCAGGTAGTAGAGTGGCCAGTCCCCACTTCAAGAAACAACAGTTTTTGGGGTTTGCAAACTTTTATCAAAGATTTATCAGGGACTACAGCACGAAGTGGATTTTGCCAGTCACTTGGTGCCACAGTCAGTCTCTCGTATGGTTTTCATCCTCAGATCAATAGACAAGCAGAAAGGGCTAACCAAGACCTGGAGGCAGCCCTCCGGTGCGTCGCAGCTCAGAATCCCAGTACTTGGAGCACCCACTGGCCAGGGCTGGACTGGGACAAAAAATCGGCATTTTTGCCTGAGGCGGCCCACCAAAATCGGTCAGACATCCCTAACCAATACACCATCGTTCCATTTAGAGGGTCAGATTAAGTGAAACACCAAGAGGTGACATTGCACAAGATTGGTGTCAATGACTACAAGACACGAATATATTTTAATAGACCTACTATTCAGAAAAAATATTTATAGATTAAATGTTTGATAGGGGGGTCTGGGGGCCCTTCCCCGGAAGATTTTTAGCATTAAACATTTCATTTCTTGCATTCTGGAAATATTTTCTGCACCAATTTATGGTGGTCTTTACTTTTATAAAAGTAAGCACAGAGTTCAGGTGGCAGGTGACAATTCACAATATAAAAATATAATAAAATATAATGCAGTAATCAGTAACATAACCGTTGTTGCTTAAATTACTTTTTTGAACAACACAGAAGTTTCTTCTATATTTACATTGCATTGCAGGTTTTCTTAAGTGCAAATAAACCTTTCTCATAGCATTTTTATTTGTTAATTAACATTTCTTGGTGCAAGCTATTTCTCAGAACATTTTTAACAAATGCTTTCAAAAAGTGGCGTCTACATGTCCCCAGCGTCCCCGGTGTGAATGACCCTCCCTGCACGCTCCCTGCCTACAGGTATGGAGAGCTACTCCATGCTTACCGCTTCACCTCCGCTCTCCTCCTGCTCTCTCTGTCACTTTGTCCCTCTGTTTCGCTAACGCAGCCTCCTCCTTTGCCTGGGACTGGCCACCACAGATCATTTACTCCTTCAAGTGCCTGCACTACGCAGGGTACTGCAGCTGATGTTGAAGCTACTGCAGCCCCGGTAGCAAACATATTGGTTATTTTGCGGTGCATTTGACGGTGCTGATGCACATTGCAGCGGTAGCAGTCACAGCTGGCAGCTCTCACACGCATTTTCTTTAGGAAATAACCATTCTAGTTATTGTTACAGTGAGCTTATTATGTGATTTCATATACAACACTTTTTGACTTCTTGTCAAAAGAGGCTAAATATATAAAATAAATATAGATTAGATTAGATAAATATTTTAGATTATTAGGACCACTTGTATTTAACTATTCAAATAAATCCATCAAAGTGTCAAGATGTCATTCTTAAAGGTGGCAGTGACGACACATTTTTTTTCAGTAAATTAACATGGCTGTGATCTCAGGATGTGTCTGTATGCTTAATGCCAGAATTAATCAACTTTTGCATGAGGTCACTATGTGTTTGTCTCTTTGCCAGTTGAGAACATTTAAGGTAGAGAGAGTCTGAATGTTGGGAGAGAGAATACCACCGGGGGTCTTCCTTCTGTGCTGCGCGAGTAAAGAGACTTTCTTTGACTCTGTTACTGTTACTATAAGTTTTCTATTACAGTATATAGACACGTTGCTGCTAATTGGGTAACAGCTCTGACACACCCACCAAAGACAGGAAACTTACCTGAAAACGTGTTTCACACCGCTTTGAGGAAACGTGTTGCTCAACATGGAAACTGCAGCAGAACAGTGCACTCTGTTTTTTAGAGTGAAGGTGACTTGGATAACCTGGTGTTAGCTGGAGGTGGTGTTGTAGTTATTCAATATGACCACTGGAGTGCAGTGAGTCATCAGTTTATTCTACACCTCATAGGCTAACAAACCTTCTGTTGAAGCAGAGAGAGGCTTGGTTTGTTGGCACCACTTCACTTTTGACTTTAGTTATTTTTACAGTGAAAGCA